GAGCCAACTGTAACCCTGAATGAGTGTCTGTCTGTTCTCATCTGTGTGCGAGAGTGTTTGAATGGATTCTTCTTATCCTTCCCGTCTGACATGATACGAAAGTTGAGCTTTAATCATCAAACTTTATTTGGTTAAACGTTTTTTTGTTTTGTTTTAATGAATTTCTGTGATGGTCTTAAAGGGTAAAAAACATTTTCTCAGAAGAATGTTAAATGATCAGTTCTGATTTAAACAAGCTGTATTTAAACAACTTTAAATCCAAGGTTATGCCTCACTTTTATATCGCATAGGATTGTCTTTAAAACTATAACCTCCAATGTACATTACAGCTCAGTTTGGTATGGTAAGTGGAATGGCCAGGATGAGCTCCCAGAAAAAAGGGGGTCTCCTACCTCCAAGCTGTTGAAGCTCAAGTGGAGGAATCAGTGTTTTGAAGTAAAGTCCTAATACGATTGTGAGTTTTGAACCAATAAACTAATTGGGCCTCATCTACAGTAATATGGGCACTATGTATACTGTTGTGCCTGTAATTGAGAGGATAGGATCTCACAGGAGGAAAGGAACCATTGAAATTAGCTTTGTTTTTAAAAAGATCCAAGAGTGAGGTAATCGAGGAGGTTTGGGTGTCTGGTCAGGATTGGTTTACTGATTGGACAGGCAGTTGACAAATCTGGAAACTATTGGTGCAAATGCATATTTCTGCTTTGGGATCTATCAGATTAAGCTAACCACCATCTCTGGATAGAGTGATGTCAACATAGACATGGCTGATGATTAATGGATAGAAGTTTATTATTGAAAAGCCTAAACAATACTGAGCATTTGTGATTACTTCCTAGGCCCTATTGGTAGCAGTTACGTTTAGGTTAGATGGGAACCAGGGTTGCAATTGCTCAGTTTAAATCAAGCTTAAATCTGATTTTTGGTCAGGTAAGAGTTGTGGGTTAGCCCAAAAACTATTATATGAAAGTCTTGTGGCTTTTGAGAAAGATATTTCAAATAAAAAGAATCCTAATCAGAGTATTTTCTGACTGTCGCCACCAGATGGGAGTATAGACCCATTTTCCCAACTGCAGCACATTCTGTTTTCTAGCCTTTTGGCTCTGACAGTTGGGTGGCCAAGTTTGGAGTCTAAACAACCTGTTACAGAGGATCACATACCACATCTTGTAAACGCTGTCAGAGAAAGCTATTTGAAATGTGGTACATTTTTACAGCAGTCTGAATGTAGTGGGTTTTTTTTTCAATATATTTGGCCATTCATTCACCTATCTTATCCAGATTTTTTTTTTTTTTTTGGGGTGGGGGGGGGGGGGGCTAAAAGGGGATAGTTTCTCCTGTTCTGTGTTTGTGTCAGTATAGCTAAATGTTTCACATTTTGACCGTGATGTGGAATAGGTTTGCACTGGGAGCACCGTTAATATATGATGTGTGTATGTGTTGGATATGGGTGTGTGTGCTTCCTCTGGGTCTGTGGGATTTTGGCCCATAATTCCTGCAGCTCTCGGGTCACAGCTCCGTTCTCACGCACATATTTGGCATTCCTTCCCCGACATGATTACCATACACCTTCCACTCTGGGTTTGGCTACACAGAATATTTCCATCATTCCCGAGTGGAACTGAAGCAACGTTCCAGAAACTAACTACTTACACCAGCCCCCCCCCCACTCCCTTCCTCGCTCTTCTTTATCCCACACCCATTTTCTCTTCCACCTCACTGTCTCCTTATACCCCCCCACCCCCTTCAGTGCAGATTCCTGTTGCCTTGCAATAGGAATCCTCTGGTGCAACCTTTTTTTCCCCCTGAGTCAGCTGTTTGTGTCTGCTTAAGCGATTGGGTCATTTGGCAGTGACATCTCTTCAGTGACCTCCTGCTAGGATTGGGAAGGAAGGGAAGTGATGGAGGATAACAGCAGGAGAGACGAGAAGTGCAAAAAAACGGCTAGAAAACTTCGTAAAGGCCCTCAGTGCTCTTGTTTTTGATCATTTTATGATAAATTAATTCAAGGTGTGTTTCTGAAAACTGGTTTCTTTGTGAGCTTGGTGTGTGTTAACTTTATACTTTCAAAACAGTTTAAAGTCTTAGTTAATGAGTTCATTGGCAGAAAACATCTATTACTCTAACCTTCTATTGCTGTAACTTGATTTCAACTTAAAAGCAGCTTTTTGGTCCTACAGTAGCCTCCTGTCAGATTTAATTAAAGCACCCCTGTTGGTTGGAATAGCAAAGATTTTGGGTTTTTTTGGTTTAAAACTTATGGCACTTTACAAATGTATTAGTTGGCGGCAAAGTATTTCTCATAAGCTGCAACCTAAATGTAATGATCAGAGTATCTTCTGAAATTTCTGCAAATATTGCATTGTCATTAGAATTGTCACCTCTACCACAGATTTCTAATTAAAGGAAGGAGAATAAAGAGATCAGGATCTTGGTTATGAGCACTTTAGGTAAGGGCTCTATCCAAACGTCCACCCTAATCACTATATAGTCATTTTAAATGAGTATCCAAAGTTCCAGAACAGTATTTTTCAACCCTGGTCCTCTAGGCACACTGCTCTGCATGCTTTGGATGTTTCTGAGCTTCAGCACACCTGATTCAGATGACTGCAGTTCAGAAAAGCCTGATAATCTGCTATCAATTGATAACAGGTGTGTGAAAGCTGGGAAACATCTAAAACATGCAGGGCAGTGTGCCTTGAGGACCAGGGTTGAAAAACACCGGTCTAGTGGTAGTGGACTCCAAATTTCCCATAATGCACCTTGAAAAGTAGTGACTATCCAGGGTCATTGGACGAGCAGATATATCCCAAAATCATGGGATTTCTTGTGACAGTGGCGATGGATAAAGATGGAGCGTGCACCATGCAGGGAGGCGGAGTTAGGTGACCAAACACAAAGTAGTCATCTCTTTGAATGTTCAGTTAACTGAGTTGATTATAAAGTTCACTATATAGTCCCCATTCTATTTAGTGATTTAGAGGTTAGGGCGGACATTCGGACACAGCTAGTGTGGAGTTATATTCAGATATTTTTATGCTCCATTACTATAGATTCCCCAATTAATGTTGGGCTTGAAAGGAAGTACTTAAACTGTATATTTGTGAATAGAAAATACAACTTAAAATGGTTTATATGTCAAGTTGATTTTCTCTATCACATGAGCTCAAATATACACATTGACCCACATTAATGCAAAATTCTGGTCGTGACATTCAGGCTGAATATTTGACCAACCTTTTATAGGACATGGCAGAGACTAAGATTTTAACATATTTAATGCATTTTTAATAGTGTTAAAGGCAATTTCAGAAGCTTGCTGTGAGCATGTGTAATCCATTCACAAAGACAATCCTTGATGCTTATTTGGAATTATTGTTATGCTGAAACACGGAATTGCTCCAAGACTCAATCTAAATACAGCAAATTGGTAAGAACTCTTTAGCTAAAGCGAAAGTGCATCAGTTTTGTTATTGTAAGTGCTGTCTGAATAGTCCTTGCAGTAAAGACAGGCTGGAAAAGAAGCCTGTAAGTAGGATCCTTCCAATCACTAAGGAGCTAGAAGGAATCCCACAATCTTTTGGGTTACAGGATGTATAGGCACAGCCCAGTTTATGGAGTTAAACAAAAATACATAATTTCTTTCACATCTACTCTGTGTACGTACAAACCTTCATATTGTTTGGTTTGTATGATGTGTCGGGGTATAAATAATTTTGACTGAATTGAATTAGCTGTGGGCTGCATGGTAGGGCAGTGGGTATCACTGCTTCATTGCAGCAAGAACATTCCAGGTTTGATTCTTAGCCCGGGATCTTTCTGCATGGAGTTTGCATGTTCCCCCTGTGCATGCATGGGTTCTGTCCGGGTACTCAGTCCAAAAAACAAAACAAAACAAAAACGACTTCTAGGCTTCTCTAAATTCTCTTTAAATGTGAGTGTGCGCATGTATGGTTGTCTCCATCTGTGTTGCTCTGCGATAGACTGGCGTGTCCAGCGTGTACTCCACCTCTGGCCCATTGACAGCTGGAGATAAGCACCAGCGACCCAAGCGGGGATAAGCGTAAAGGAAAATGGATAAATTAGACTTCTATGTGCGTAGACGTGCATCATCTAAGTGCATTTCTTGCTGTCTACCAGAAATGTTCCTCCTATCCACAAGAACACGAAAGGTGAGGGGAAGATGGCTATGAAAATGTAGCTAGGGGTTCCTGTTTCCAACCTCCTTCCTAAGTTTTAACCCTCTTGATAGTCATCATTTGTCATTCAGCCATATTGGTGCAATGTATGACAGGGAAGGGTAGTCTTTGAATGATACTAATACCACCATGCCTGGAAGAGGAAACACTGTTTTTCGGTTTGAAAAACGACTCCTCATTATGACCAAGGAGAAAAAATCTGTCTCGTAATTTGTTTTTCAAGATGGCAGTTCACTTGTCTTTTTGAGCAGCTGTTAGTTGTGGTCGTATTTGATAATGACCTGCAGAGTGACACCATTTTTTTTTATAGCTCTTTCAGTTTTATGATAGGAATTTCTGTTTGGTTATATTTGTTTTGTTTTGTTAGAAATCAGGTTTAGCTGGTTGAAACATGGGCACAGTGGAGTGTTTAAAAAGGATAATTATCCCAAACACATTAGACTGGTTTTGGAATGGATAAGTAAGTAAGCCAACCTTGAATGGGCCTAGTCTCAATCATAAGATAAGCAGTCAGTCAGCCAAAGGTCAGGCTGGTTTCATTTACAAAAAAACTGGAAGGACTTGTAACTACACATTAAGGTGCATATATATGCACCTTAAAATATATATATATGTGTATAGATATCTAAACAATGGTTGGCAGATTTCTTGGAGAAAAGAGGTTTGCTACTTGACAACAATCTATTATCTCTTTAATTGCCGGCATTAAAAGAGAAAGTGATGAAACAGTTAAAATGAGGCTGGGAGACAAAGTGTTTCTGAAAAGTTTACTTAGTCAAGAAAGACTGCTGCACACAGAGCTGAAATAAATAAATGAAATAATTTTATCGTAATAATTATAGTAACCATCATAGTAAGATTGCTTATTTACGTTTCTGTCTTTCTTTAATATATAATATATATATATTTATACTTTCAATAAATTGTTCCCTTTAAGTCTTCTTCCCTGGTGTGTATGCATGAGATTCTGGATTGTTCCACTGAATATCCTGGTAGCAGCGCTCTGTATCCACGGTATCTCACAGGAGCATCATCCCCTGGGTCGTTTCTATAGCAATGCTATTAGAGAAGGCACCCTCCCCTTGGGCTTAGCCAAGCACTCATCATCTTCTGCACCTTAAAGCTGTGGATGTAGTGCCCTCGTGGGGGAGGCAAAGAAAAGGGAGGAATAATAAAGAAGGTCTCCAGTTGTCTTTGGTTGCAGTTGGTTTGGTTTGCTGTGATTTGGTGCAGCTTGGTTATTAAGTACATTCCAGTTCTTAAAGCTTTAGTCCCTGCATTGAGTTCTCCTGGTTCATGCAGAGACGGTACAGTCCATTTCCAGAACGTCTTGTGATTTTCATCTCCAAGCACTCAATGCAATACACATTTCCTTGTCATCCTCTCAAGAACATGCATATATTCAGCGTCATTCACTCTTAATATTTCCCCATTCATTCTTTTAGTTTCTGTCCTGCATTTTGTTCCCACAACTTTAGTAGTGAGACGGATAAGTGCGTCACATGTCAAATGTCTATTATATGTCCTCTGGATCCGAGCAGATTCCTCTGTGTCCTCTTGAACGTCCCGATTTTCCCTTTGTCAATAGGCTAAGCACTCGTCTTGTTCAGTCCTTTCCCAGCCAAGCTATCTTTGTATGGTCCAGTTATAAGCCCACTTTTGACATCAGTCCACCTGATCCAGAGCAGCAGACAGGAAGGCCTTGTGGTTTATGTGGCTGTAGAATCAAGGCATTTGTCATGTCTTGGACTCTGACTGACCTTAAGGATCTCTGTTGCTCTTTCTGAGTTTCCAGCATCACTGGAGATACAGTCCAGTTGGTCCAATGGGGGAAATAAATGTTTTTGAAACGGTGACTAACCAGGGGTTTGGAGTGCTGAATTAGGATTCTTAAAGCTGAACCCCATTAATGATTCATTGGGTTTCTGGTCAATATTTGTCCCAACAAAGGGATAGATGATCAGTCGAGTGCAACAGATGAGATGACTAGGTTAGCCATTTGGAGGCTCAGGGTGAGGGTTTTGCTCTTCAACACCGTGGGTGCTAGTGTTAGCCACTACTAGCGCGTCCCAGTGGCGCGAACCCTTTTGACCCGCCTGCTGATGGTCGTAAAGCGGAAGGGTGTGGTGAGGTCAGGCTGTTCCCCCGGTGGGAAGCGTTTCATAAAATGTACATCTTGCTGGTTGGGGAGGGTGTGGGGTCCCCTACGAGGACGACCCTTTTTAGTAAAGCCAACATACCAGCCCGTGTAGCGTGCCGACATTAAAGCTGTGTAGTGGTTTTCCAGAACCATTTCCACAAAGACGCAATCAGCGCTTCGGTTACTGGCCTTCTGAGAAAGAGAGAGAGAGAGAGAGAGCAGAAAAAAACACACACATTTTTATATATATATACACACAGAAAGGCATAAAGGTTGGCGTGTCAGAAAGTTTGATATATTGTTCTATGAATGCATCCCAATAAGGAAACATCTCACCTTTCCCACCAGCTTCCCACGGCGATTCATGCACAGGTAGAAGTTGGTCTCTATTCCCCGGATTCTCACCTGGCTGCCAAAGGTGTCTGCCTCCACTACGAGCTGGGCTTATTAAGGGACAGACAAAGAAACAGACAGACATTAGAGATGCAAGTATAATATAAAAATACAGCTTAAAATTCTTTAGTAAGTAGTTAGGCCATATTGAAAAAAACTTCTGTAAACATCAGTTGTAGTTTCTGCCCCAGATTTCCTTTTTATTTTGGTCTAACCTTTTGACAAGGCCATTCTAAACCATTTCTACAGCCATGGCTGTATGTATATGGTCACTGTCATGCTGGTCCTGACCTTCTAGTCTAAAGTCTCTTGCATAAAAAAAGTTTTTTTTTTTTTTTTTCAAAAGGAAGCCTTCAAAAAAAAGGGCATCCCACCGCATGATGCTGCCTCCACAATTGTGCGTGGTTGGGATGGTGGGTTAAGGATGACCTAACATCTTTATTTTATTTTTAACCAAGCATAATCTTTTCCACACAAACTTGATTCTGGACTAATCTGGCCAGAGGATCTTATTTAATAGTCTCTTAAAGCAGCACTGTGTAACTTTTAGCCACTAGGGGCGCCAGACTTGTAAATTCCAGGTTTATCTGGTATTCACAAGCTTTCAGGGGAAAGCTAACCTTGCGCTGGATTGTTGTGAGATATGAGTTTTCAGTCTCACAACAAATCCAGCTTGAAAGACTCCCGCTAATACATCCGTCTCATAACAACCAGTGAGTCGGACCAATCACATGCACGCAATGTTATTTGGGGTGGGACATGTAGGAATGACGACAGTAAAAGGGACCTTGCCGGGGCGTTACAGAAATGGCTACGCTGGAGGACTCACCTGTCGATACTGCAACTGACTCAGTTTTAGATAAAATGGTGATAATTTGTCATTTAAAGAAGAGAAGCACTTTGCGCATTTGTAGATGGGAAAGAGGTCTGTGCTTTTCTTCCGACAGGATTAAGAAAAAATTTGATTTATCAGCTTACTCCGCTAGTTGTGAAAATATCACGATTGGCTGCTATGATTACCTGAAAGCGTATTATGGAAGGCAGGTAGTAGCTGGCATGTCACCCAATCAGCTCGAAGCCTTGTACTAAATGTCCCTCCTTTTCACGGACAGACTGAACGGCAGCCATCCCAGAATGATAATCTCAACTCAGCCCTACAAATATCAATCTGACTACTGCCAGATTACCTGAAAGGAACATTGCACTAAATCTAACACTCCCCTTCTTGTTTTGATATCAGATAGCAGACCAATTTGACTTACACAATGAGAAATCATTGACTAATTGTAAAGACAAGGCCACATTCCCTCCTCTAGATTAAATCCTACATCAGGGATACTACTTGTAGCTTAGATGTCTATCATGGGAGCTCAGACCCAACTGTTTTAAGTTACATAGGTGAATTTTTGTAATGGATCGCCCATATTGGGCATTGATGCGCACAAAGTGATGTATATTGAGCTCAAAGATAATTAAATTTATCTCAAATCAATCGAATACTTAGGTCAAAATGTACACACAGCAGCTTTAAGGTGAGAAACACAAATTCCATTGATTTCAATTCAATTAATTTATTACAGAAAAATAAATAATTGGGGTTTCTCATGTTCTTCCAATGATGTCTTTCTTCGTAAAAAACAGCTGGTGTTGTTGTCCGATCAACAGATTTGCTAAACTGAGCCAGTGATCTCCGCAGGTCCTCCACAGTGGCCTCATAAGTGCTTTTCTGATTAATGCTTGCATTATTATCATGATTTTAAATTGTACAAATTCCTTCAATATTACAATTAGGTTACTTCTGAAGGCAATCGATTGCACCAATTTTATTGAGATGTATCTGGGTAAAGGGGGAAACATACCCACTTCACACTTTTCTGCTTTTCATTCCCAAAAGTTCATATTTGCTGCTTCAGGTGATAATCTTTAGGTGCTGCATGAAATTTGTTTGTAAAGGGTATGAATACTTCTGCAGCTAACATTAAAATACAAACGGGTCAAGAGATTTTTACTGAGTTGCAGTAGAGTGATTTATAGCTCCTGATACCTGTGCTAAATCATAGGCAGATGTAAATGTCTGGTGATACAGATGGCTGCAAGAGAAAGTTGATCACACACATGGATGTGAGCACGCTGACCGCACATGAGCCTTGAGAAGAATAAAAAGATAACAGTTGAGGAAAAAAGGCAACCAAGGGGAGCTGAGAACACTCAGTCTGAGTGCCTGTGATCCTGTTGTTTTAAGGCGTGTGCATGTGCTCCTGTGCCCCTTGTGTGTTTTCGTGCGAGAGGCGTGTGTGCAGGTGCACGGTGTGTATTTAAGCTTCTAGGCAGCAGGCCACCGCTTCACTAACTACACACCTTTAGAGAGTGTTTGTGCCTGTTTAAAAATAAATCCTAAAACGGTTCCTACATGACCTTAGTCAACAAAGGGGTCAGCAGAAATCAATACCTCCCTCCCTCTTGCCCCCCTCATCTCTCTTCCCCCAACTGTCTTCTCATCTCCCTTCTGCTCTTACTCTTCATCTTTATACTGTCATGCACTTGCCTCAGCGTTATTCTGCTCCTAGTTCCACCAAAGTAATTATTTGGCTAATTTTTTGTCAGTTTTCAGTAAATTTATGATATCTCGGATAAAAGAAAATGGTGCATTTCTGCACATGTGCTATGGTACTGTGACTAAAGGGATATGTAATCTGTCTAGAATAAAAGAAAACATACAGAAAACGAAGCTTTATTGCAAGGCTTAATTGATTTTGTTATTTAAGAGCGGTTTATCCATCATTACACATCTAGCAGGAGGGGAGATGATGTTGGGGGATGAATGAAGACTATAGATGGAGGCAGGGAAAGGGAGCCTGCTGTTTAAAATCCAGAGCAGACAACAGGAAGGATGAAAAATCAATGGTCGGATCGATGAAAGAGATGAGTTTCTAACACTCAGTTCCGATGCTCTATCTGCCAGGCTTCTTTCTTTAACTTGCAATTTTTTTCTTTGGTGACACCTTTTCTCTCTATGTCTTCTCTCTTTTGAATCACTGAGTCTGCAGCCAGTCAATGTGGTCTTTGTACTCCCAAGACAAGCTTCACTGCCCCTTTGTCAAAGCTGTGGAGGGGCTGGATGTGTGCCTTTATGTGCATCTCCACTGATGCATGCATTTGGTCAACTTTTAAATCTTTGTTCTTCTTACAGTGACCGAACCATTCACAGCCCTTGAACTTTTTGCATCACAAACATTAATTTCAATTCATTTTTATGGGTTTTTATGTGGCAGGCTAGCATAAAGTGGTGTGATGTTGCAAAAAAGAGGGAAGATTAAACACAATATTCCAAATATTTCCAAATACAAATTTGAACAGTGAGGCTGCATTTGAATCTGGTGCCTGGAGTTGTATTTTTTAAAATCTCCAACCAGCTTTTCACATCTAGAGGCTAAACCCTTTCCCCCGTTATTCTTTGCCCAATACCTCAAACTCAGTGAGACTTTATGTGTAATTTCTGCAAACAGAAGTTTCCTAGTCACTATTCTCTTTGTGCTATTCTAAAACCTGAACATGCTTTGATCTAAACCATTCAGCTGCAGCTTTGCATTTTTGTTTAGGCTTATTTTCTTGTGAAAAAATTATACCTCTACTCCGAACTCAAATCTTCTACAACCTCCAAAAGTTTTTTGTTGTTTTTTTCTTAATCTAAGATTACCCTGTATTTAATATAAAACAAAATTGTGTATTTAACAGTGCTCTGTGAGATGTGTTTAATTCTACACATTGTTTAATAATTAATCCCTGCTCCTAAACTATCAACAGCGATATATCTGATCTGCCTGCAGTATTTCTTGGTATTCCTGATGCTTTCTCTTCAGTTTAATTCTCTGAAAGAAGATTTATAGGGGAACATTTTTTGCTACACTGTGTTGCTCTGTCATAAAATCCAGATAATATATTTAAATTTTGGGTTGATCCATGACTGCATGTGAAAAACCTTAAGAGCTATAAATCCTTTTGCAAGGTATTCTGTAAATATGGGAGTGAGGTTTGACCACATTTGGTATTTTAGCTTTAGTGCACTTTTCTCTGTGTGTCTTACCATATTTGTCTCCATCTTCTCCCTTGGCACTGATTCTGCGTCCCAGCACCTGGACGTGCTTTCCACTGGTGCGGCTGTAGAGCTGGTAGACTCTGTGGTGTCTCCGACTCATGGTGTCTCGCACCTGCGTCTGGTTCTCCACATGCACGCTGAAGTTGACTCCATCCACGCCAAGTACCTGCTGGAACACCCACAAGCACATCCACAGTTTGGCAGAGAATCGTGAAGATGTTTAAAAGAATGTGCATAAAATCAATATACCAAATGTCTTTCACACTACACATTCGCTCCTTTATGATGCATGCCGCTTCTCACCTGCAAGGGATTGCACATCACCAGCAACATCTGGATACATCTGGAAAGAGCAGACACAGATGAGTTAACAGATCAAAAATTCTGAAAGAGTGGAGAATGACACCATCATTTCCATTTCTTTCTTTTCCTCTTTTCCCTCTGTTTGACATCTCATTTCCTTCTTGAATGATTACTCACACTCCTGGGCGTGAGGCTGGCACCACGTCTTGACATACGGACCAGCAGATGTCCAGGAATCGAAAGACAGACAACACCCAGGCCAGTGTTTACAGTAATGCTACCAGCCTACTGTCCGAACCAACTTTCTGACCCGTCTGTGACTTTTGCACTTCCAAAAATCTGGCCTGCAAATGACCCGAGTGGATGGGCCGAAATGGCAAACATGCCGAGACGAGTAGAACACGTTTTTGGTTCAGACATCTAAAGAAGCGGGCTGGCTCATTTGGCCGCCCTGTGTATGTAGACAGCTGCGCTGGACTACAGGTGTTCATTCAGCTGTGATGTTGCTTTTGAGAACACTGGATTGTGGTTACGTTAGGAGATGCTTAAAATATGTGCGAACAAGAACTACCAATATGTGGAAATATGATTTATGGTGGCATAGCACAAAAAGGTTGTTTTTTTCTCTCCATTAAACGCATTAGTTGTCCTAATAGTTATTTTTACATTCCAGGGGAAACAGCTGGTTACAGTTATAATTAAAATTCTTCTCAGTTTTTTTTTTGCATCGCTAAATTAACATGTAGACCTTGACCTTGAATGTATCACAGGTTATTTACAGCTTTTTAAAGGGAGTAATGGCGTTGCAAAATCTTCTTTGGCAGTCCTTGAGCGGCTCTGAATTAGGGGCTGAACACTTGATAGAGTTCAGAACCAAGTGTGTGGGCTGAAAAGCAATTTTATGAATTTTGTCTTTCCCCACCTCATCTCATGCTATCTTTCTGCATGCTTCTTCTCTCTCTTTTTCTCTGGCTTGCAGGCCTGCCTGTATCTTGCCGAGCTTATCTCTCCCTCCTCGTCTCTTCTCTCCATACCTTTTTCCTATCATTCCCCCCCCTGCCTCCAATCTTTCTTTATGTTTAGGGTTAGCAAGGGTGACTCCTCCACACTGTCATGGGTAGGCACACAGATGTGTGCAGGGTGAAAGTGTGTATACAGGAGGAGCAGACAGCTGACAGCTGGGCCTAAGCAAAGACATGCTGAGAGAAGCAGATAGCAGAGTGAAGAGAAAAGGTAGACCAAGATGTACACAGCAGCCCGGGCTGGGAGAGGGGTTGGGGAAGCTTATGTTAGAGTAAATAGAGAAGAAATGAAGGCTGATGGGAGTCCAGAGAGGAAATCTGAAGGAAAAAGCAGCTGTATGGATGTGTGGCAGAAGAGATGGGTCAGAAAAACACTGGGGTTACACATCTATACACATCTCCAAGCAAGGAGAAAACTCTGCAAATTCTCAACAGAGGTGAAACCGCAAAGTGCTGAGGGAGATGAGAAGTAGAAAAATAATGAAAAGAGGAGGTGTTTCACATGTGTCTAACTTGTTGTATAACATGTCACTGTCTTGTGCCATCACAGCCATCTTGTTTCCTTTGAATCTCTCTTAAAGCTCACAGGTTTGACTTGTTGTCGACTCACTTCTGGTCATTCTAATAGATGCAGACATCCTGGGAAATGCAGCAGAGCACTGGCCCTCACTTTTTGCCTGCGCAGCCGAAAAAACCAGAGCCCCTGTGCATTGTGAGGACTCTCAGCTGTTAAAACACCACGGCTGCACCACTGCCGAGGACGGTGTAGGAAAAGTGCCTCTGCGCTGGATTCCCCCGCTCCCACAAAAACCACAGACACTCCATATTATGCCAGCTACAGAGAGAAGAAGGAGAGAGGAAAGAAGGAGAGGGGATCAGCCGGCAGTGGGGGGAGGGATGAGAAAAAGGAGAAAATAAGAGTGTAGAGTAAAAAATTCAAGAGGAATAAGGATAGAAAGGGGTAGGGGAGAGAGAGGGAAAGCCCGATGTGCCCGGGCCCGTTGCCAAAACAAGCAGCCATCTGACATCATAAACCTACGTCCCAGCAGATCAACCATATGGAGGCTGCGGTTAGGCAAGTAGGCCTCAGCACTGTGGACTGGGCACCAGCGTGGAGAAGAGCGGTCGACCTGTGGGACTCAGTAGAGAGCAGCGGTTTAAGCCGTGTGTAGCAGTGGTTTACGTGGTACGCCAAAGTTGAAGCAGTGGTCTTCAGCAAAGTTCAAAAGTTTTAAAATCTGCTGCAGCCAGACCCCCCCTTTCTTTTTTTTTTATAAAAAAAACTTGCTTTGACTTTTGGGATGCAATTTGGGCCCATAACTCAGCAAAGGTTTGAAAAAAAAAAACCTGGATATTGACTTAGGTGTTTAGACTTTAACTAAAAGCCAGTGATCAAGAGGATAAACAGCATATGCAGGATGAAAATGTTGGCAGAAAACTAAGAAGTTAGGTCAAAATGAATAATAAGATAAATTGGAGTGCCTTGCTCCTTTTCAGGAGTTGTCATTCATCAGTTATTAATTCATTCTTTGTTATCTGAGAAGGTATCAGTGGAATAAAAAAATGTGGTACAGGCAAGAAAGGAAGACAGATGTAGCTAGTTAGGTGATAGGAAAGCAAGGAGACACTAGCAGTAGCACACACCCTGTTCAGGTTGTGTGAGGAATGAGAAGTATCTACAGACGACTGCCATCTGGGAGAAGGACAGCCAACACAAAGGAAAAAAAAAATAAATCACTGGATTTTGACCAGGCACACCTCATATGTGCCCCCATCCCTGATTCTGCATCCTTCAATATTTGCTCTTGGCACAATCAGTTTCCTATCCTAAAAAATTAAAGCTGCTGTTTTTGGACTTAACTTTCTAAAATATTCCAATCGGAGAAAAAAAAAACTTTTTTTTCTTTTGCCTGTAGAAAATTATCAATGTTGAGCCCTTTTGGCCATCCCTAAAGTTAGAGCAGAGAATGATGGAGATGTATATGGCAGGTTGTATGAGTAACATGGCCCTGACTCTGACCCAATGGCCCTGAACTGTCAGCCAATCAAAACAACCTTGCACTCCTAGATCTTCTATGAAGAGTGATGTAAACCATACACATTGCAACCCTCATCTCCATTATCCTCATCTGTTGCTCTCACCCTTTTATGACATTTAATCTGAGGAACAGGGCCTGAGCAGAAATGAGATGAAAGTGACTTACAAGACGGTCAACGTGGAAAGAAGGGACCACATTGCTTCCCCCCTCCACTATGGAACTTGTCCCAGAGACGGTCTCCTCGCTCGGTCTGAGCCAGTCCGACAGTCCGGAGATTCCCTCTTTACGCTGTAAACCTGATGGATGCTTCCCAAAGTCAAAGTGTCAGCGGTCACTCTTGTTGGCATCGGCGGCGCGTGCTCCGGTCCTCCCGGTGTGAATGGCACAGACGAGACGGGGTGAGTGATGACCGCCGGGCAACCTTTAACAGCTGTCCAGCCCGGTGGAAAGGCAGATGGGCGGGGGCAGCAAATGGGGCAGCTGCGCGCTCCCGACACAGAGAGGAACAGGTGAAAGCACGTTCACGTGTCACAAATTGCCTGCACTGTTAGACCTTGTCGACCCCACGGACAGATGCGTAATCCAGTGCGTAAAAGTTTTCGGCGCAGCAGAAAAAAAAAACGGCACTTGCTGACAATCAGACAGGAGTAATAAGCTGGTTCAATCCAAGCTGCGCGGGGTCTGGAGCTCTTGGAGGTGGGTTTCCTGGGTTGGCTGCTGGAGTAAACGGCGACCTGGATAACGGGGCTCTGCGGGCGCAGGGTAATTCAATACGATCTCTGTCATGTCTGCGCCTTACCGCAGCGCGTCTGTAGCTCAGGTGACACCCGCTGACGTTGTCCCAGACAGATGCTGATAAGGTCCCCAATCGGTCCAGCTCAGGTAGTGTGCGGTTAGTCCAGATTGAGGGTGTAATAAAAGGCAAAGGAAGGAGGTGGCTGGAAGGGATGAGAGCAGCTGTGACTGGGTGGCAGAGTCAGCCACCCGCGACACGGCGGGGAAATGACATGCCGCACTTTGCACCTGATTTTCCGGACAACTCCCCCGGCTCTACTCAGCCGCTGGTTACCGCCTGGCTGCAGCAGTCCCCCTCTGCGCCCTCTCAACACAATACCTGCCAAAACACAGCACTATGACATCACCTCCAAAATGTTTGAAGGGGGGAAAATGCAATCCGATCTTCTTATTTATTTTTCTAAAACGCAGAAAAGTTTAGGGCTGTTTCTCTAAAAATGTGGGGGAGAAACACAAAAGTCTCTGCAGCGGTCCGAGAGGGGAGCAAAAAGGGAACCCTGCGCTGCAAAAAAAAGGGAGCGATGGAGTGAAACTCAGCGGTTTGTGAAGATTAAAAAAGTTTAAAAGCAAAAGGTGTTTACTCAGTCACGCTGACAGAACGACCCCCCAGAACAGAGCAGAACCTCCACTCCGCTGCTCTCCCATGTCTTCGCCTCCCTGTTTCATTCAGACACCAGAGGAGCAAAACGCAAGAGAGAACGCAAAAAGAACCCAGCCGTGCGCTTTTATCCACTTCACTTGTATTATGCAGATCCTTCTTTCTTTCTTTCAAAAAAATTACTTTTCTTTCTCTCTCTCTTTCTCTAAAAAAATAGCTCTTCTTGAAGGGGGGCTGCACAGGAGAGGCGCGTCGGCAGGCACAGACCTCACTCCAAGTAAAACCAGAACAAGATTTTAACAGACGCTGATCAATCCTCCCTCCCTCCCTCCTTCCCTCCCGCCTCTCCTTCTCCCTCTCTATCTCTCCTTCTCTCTCTCTCTCACATACACACACACTTATTGGATCAAAATGGGATTAGTTGTCGCTTAGCGATGCTGACCAAACTCCCAATGCAAAAATGTAAGTTTTAACAAGTGTTCGGCTCAGCATGAAAAACATCTGCAAATGAAAAAATTTCCCCTTTCCATAATGCAAACAAACTTTAAGGTTCTTCTTTTGCTCTGGTGTGTGTGTGTGTGTGTGTATGGACGTGTGTGTGTTCTAGGTAATTTCTCAAACAAGTAAAATGCACTGGAAACAATGAGGATGATGTCATGGCTCTGAGAGTAATTCACATCCCAGAGAAAATGGGAAAAAAAAAAATCCAAGAAAAATCAAATTGTTTCAGTTTAAATGGGTTCTGGAGTCATTTCAGCCAAAAGAGAAAGCACGAAAATGTTTCATAAAAAAACAAAAAAAAACCTTCAAGGTGTTCTAGTCAGGTGGACATTTGCAATGATAAAGAAGAGCTGAGTTCTCGGCTATATCTTCTAAAGATAACCTCACCCTTACACCCTTAGTTTGGCCCCGATATCAGTGCTGAAAATGGAAAGTGTAGAGGCAGTGCGCCCCCTTTCTCTCTCTCCCTCTCTCACACACACACACCCTTCAAGTGATGTATTTTGACTCCCCGTTTCATAACTTTTAAGTTAAACCTTAAGAGGATAAAATGAAAAGGAGAATGAAAGACAGTCGGGAGGGCGGTATGTAAGCACAGACACGGATCCAAAACGAACATTTCTCAGGGATTTCGGCAGCAACGCCCGCTCTGCGCTCCCAAAACTCCCTCTCACCGCCGCACAACCGCAGACGGTCAGCCAAGCCAACACAGCACTCCTGCCATACCTTTCATTCACACACACACGCACTCTATTATTTCCCTGTGTGTTTGCATTGGTGTGTGTTAGTGGCCGATAGAGGTGGGTGGATGTTGGCCCCCTGTATGAGGGACAGTTATCTTGGCACCAAGTAAAGGGATTTCAACAATGTACTTTCGGATCGCACAAACACAGCACGCGCGCGCGCACACACACAAGGAGAAAATGAGAAAGACTCCTTGAACTGGACAAAGTGAAACAGGGCTGGATAGGGGTGCTGTGGTTGAAAGCCTTTCCAGTCATGCACCATAGACAAGCCGCAGGCCTTCTTTCACATTACTGCCTCTCTCTAATTTTGCACCTGTGTCCGGGTGCCGTTTTCTCTCTCTGATCACCACAATTCTGCAAAGGGACATGGGTGTAAATGTTGTGGAGAGATTTTTGAACCACATTCTGGTGATGTGGTATGGGCCTGTCTGGTATTCTTAAGATGGAAGGGTTCATCACAGGGGCTTATGGTATTGGTTTGATTAATATATACTGGAGACTATTCAGTTGAATGAGGTTTTTAACAAGGTATAGGAGTAGGTATTCTGAGATACGTTTTCCTTAGATTTATATCTCTGACAGACAGTGTTTGATGATAAGGAATGTTTGAATCATATTAAACTAATATTAAGATTAAAAGGAAAAAGACAAAAAGGATGGAAAAAAGAAGGTTCATTTACAAAGAGGGATACTTGCAGTAGCTCAGGTTACCTTGAACATTCAATTAATATCTCAACATGACCATTTTGCCCTTTTCTGCTTCCAAGTAAAAGCCACGAACAAACCATTTAGCAAATACTAGAAAACCTGCAAGGATTTATTGTAACAATAAAGACTAATTTTATTAGAATATTAAACCCCAACCTCTCATCAAACCTGTCTCAATTGTTTTGTGTCATATTTTCAGAAGCATCCAATCATTCCTCCTGGATTTGGTCATTATTGGCTTGAAGGAATCAAGTTTAATGCAGATTATTGAGGTGCTTTTGCATAAAGCTTCTGTTCAAACACATTCCAAAGGACCCTGTTCTGATGAACGTCGAGATCACTGGATCCGTTATACTCAAGATATTTAAGAAAACCAATATAAATAGTTTAATCCTTGTGACCTGTTGGATTTTTCTGTGTAAAATGGTAATTAGTTGTCTCAAAGTGATATAGTCAGCATCTGCATGGAGGTAGGATATTAGGATATATTGTTAATACAATTATAATTGGTACTAAGGGTGTCAAGAAGGTCCAGGAAAGTGCCATTAAATCATTACCCCCCCCACCAAAACTGCTCTTACAAAGCAGGATGGCTATATGAGCTAAATGTTCTTTATGCTAAATCTCCACGATTGCAGCAGGGAAATAATTGGACCAAACAATGTTGTCCCAACTGCTGCTTAGTGGATATTTTTCTGCTTTCAGATCATTATACATGAACCCAAGAAATGGTTGAATGTGGAAAAATCACCACTGAACAGTTTTTGAAATACTCAGATCAGCCAGTCTGGCAAAATGACCATGCCACATACACGTCACATAAGAGCAGTTCATCCAAATTCAAATGCAATATTTGAAGTCCATGTTGTCCTAACAAATTCGGAAGCTTAAATACATTAAGTTGCTGTCAAGTGATGGTTTATTTAGAAGTTCTGTGAACAGGAATGCTCAAAAAAGTGACAGCTGGATATTGTTCTGATCCCATTTTGGTCAGTGTACTTTTCAGACTCCTTATCAAATCAAGGTGACCTGATAGTGGTATATGTTGTTACTGAAGCCATTTAACATTTTTTCATAGCAAGCTGCAGAGATCATAGACTACTACTTAAACTTTTGCCTTATAAAATTGGCTTCCAAACATACCCAAAGTGATTAAAAAAGTTCAGTATGAAATAATTAAGACTACGTAGATACAAACTAGAAATCTTTCAGCTGTTTTAAATTGGTTCTAGAAACTCTCATTGTTCAAGCCATATTTACATCGAGACTATTTAAAACTACCAAACTGTGTGTTATTATTTATCCTCAATCCTTTCCAACACATCTTTCTCCTATTTATTTTCTCTCCAATCTTTTGTCTTGCAAATCTCCACTATGTTTTATTTTTTCACCCCCCCCCCAGCCCCCACCCCCCACACACATGTGCAGCACAAGTGTATTGATTTTTCATGTCTTTGCCTCTGCAGATCTTACCTATTGATCCTCAGCAATAGGGAAAGCATCCACACATAGGAAGTTGTACGCATGATGTCCTTGCATGCACCCATGTCCCCTCTCCCCTACAAGAACCTTCCTTTTACAAAGCCCGACTTTGTCACAAAATTGATTTATAAACTCTCTCTCCTGTAAACTCAAGCAAAGGGACAGGATACAGCATATTGTTTAGCGTTATGACCTCTGCTGCGTTGATCAGATTTGGCATTGATAGACGTGATTGCCCTTTTATTACTTAACAGTCTCATTTAAATGAATGAAACCTGTGTGGGTCTGCAGTACTTTGCATCTCCTTTAGATCTAGGCTGGTCTCTCTCTGCCTCTTTGTGTGTATTTCTTTTTCTTTGACTCAGCCTGCAGCCTTCCTCATCCTGGAACCCCAGTCAATATTGCCATTCTGTTTAGCAATTAACATCGATCAGTGGTTGTCAATACCGTCAGCACCCAGACAAAGACCCAGGTTGCACTGCGTGTGCGCTCTCTTTCTCTATCACAGCCGAACAAATCCCCAAACAGCACTCTCATTAAATGAGGGCATAATGGCTTGACCTGAAGGTCACCATGCATGACTCTGTGTTCTGGGTGACTGGGGTGCAACCTATAATGCAGACCATGGAGTGTTCTGAGCTTCAGACCAGTTGTTGACTCATTAACGCAGTTGTGCATGTATGCATGGAGGTGTGGGAAATATGTCAAGGATAGAAACAGCTTGGCTTGGATTTTTTTTCCAAACACAAGCTGGCCAACAGGCAATATCACCCCCCCTGCTGTTAACTCTGTGTTTAAAATTCTAAAAACTTTAAACAGTCTGAATGCAATCCATCATTCTGGTGACACACTGTTGGGATTTTAAGTTTTCAGATGTGTCAAGTGCAGTGGATTGCCTCCAATTAGGTTTGTGTATAAGGCAAGAGCTGTAAATGCTTGAATGGGTGTGTTGGCCTGTGCATGTGCAAGATTTGTGGAGAGGGTGAGCCTTGTGGCTTTGATTAATACCTGCAGACATAGACCCTAAACTTCTCATCAGATGTTAAGATGTCAGCCTAACATTGGTATCTGGAATAGATATCCCCACTCAGTTAATCATGGGCCAAGTTTAAACTGTTCCCCAATGTGTAAATGTATGAGACACTTAATAAAGGCCCTTTGATGACAGAGGGGCCCATGCAAAGTTAAGGAATGTGTACAGTGTGCTTGGCTTTGAAATAAGAACCTGTTTGCCACTTGTTCGCGTCTGCAAGATGAGAGAATCGACAGCTGCAGTTAAGTGAGACCAGGAATTAATTAGTAGAGAGCAACAGTGAGCCTCGGCTGAGATGAATAGAAAAGCAAAATATTGTTTTTATTAGCAGCGATGTTGGTGGTGCACAGCCCGCTCCCTCCTTTCTCCCTTTGCGAGATTAATCCAGCAAATATGAACGTTTGCTCTGCTTCATCCTGGAATCTGTTGCAGCTGTTGTCTCCATACATAGCCCAACTAAAGAACTGGAATAACTTTACTTTGACACTTTAAAGTAGGAGGATTTGATGCAGCTTTGAAAACAAGTCTGGGTAATTATTCAGACTATCTCAGTCGTGTCAAGCTTTGGTCATATGAGGCAGACAGTGCCTACGAAGTTGATCCCCTCAATCTACACCTGCCTGCTTAGTGGCATCATTTAAAACTGTTATTCACTTTGTGATTTGAACAGTTTATTGTCATTGTCGAAGGTGAGGTCTATCAAAATGCTTAATATCCCAAACATCTGCTTCTTTTATATAAACTGAATCTTAGAAAACATTCAACAATACATGTGATCCAGCAGCAACCCTGTCTCATCCTTGC